GCCTGGTGATTTGACAAGATCAATGAAATAGATAGTTACATAGATTGATCGTCCATATTTTTCAAAATAAACATAAGCTTATGCCTTAAAGTAAAAATATAAGCAATTTTTTTTTTAAATACCTAAAGGCTAAAAATTGGTTTTAAAACACATTTTTGCTAAACCGATTCAAATTAATAAATATTTACCAGACAATATGGCCGCTCGTAAACGACCAGCTTTGAGCAATCTATATAACTATATATGTATCATTGAACCTGTTAATGACAACATGACAACAGGGTTGCCATATCTAAACTGTCATTACCCACTGGTAGCCATTTGGACAGGTCGTTGGAATGCCTAATTACTTCGAATGAAAAGTCGATAATGCAAGTTTCTAACCTAAAAAAAATCGTGATTATATGTCAAACAAAATTGAGTTGGGCCTTAAGCACCCAAGTGTCTGAACTATTGAAATTACTCCACGCCCCGCTTGGTTTCTTGCGATGAGTTGTATCCAATCACAAATGTGCTATCCACCTGCACGACTGATAATAGTTAAGTGATGGGTAGCGTCTGTGTTTCTACACTTTTTGCGGGAACAAAGAATCCTAGGTGTTTTTCTAAATGTGCACCAAAGACATTACAACTAAGAGACCAAATTGTTTACATTTTTATGTGGCAAATCATTATTCCCACCAGATTCTCGTTTATTGCGTCTTTGCCAGTTTTATCAGTCTGTAAAAATTATTTGGAGAAATTACTTTCGAAAAATAAAATTTGATGCATCCTATTACTATAATTTTATATAAATAAAAATATGTTTTTAATCAAATTATTCTTTAAAGTTTTAATATAAGCTATTTTTTTGCAAAGAACTCCGTAAATACGGCAACGCTGAATATCTTATTTTACGAATTTACAACTAGTACCTATTTTTATGAATGAAATGTAGTTACCGTAACCAGCCGCGACGTTGCCAATCGGGTCTAACAGCTATTTTATGTTTCTGACAGTTTCTGTGTGACTTTCCACATAACATCAATGTTCTATGAATATACTAGGAACGTTCTGTTTATGTTCTTCTTAGTATGTCCTTTTTAGTATGTTCTTAGAACACACCTAGTATATACTTTGAAAGTATATTCTAGAAAGTATATGCTGAGTTCGTGCCCTAAAAGTATATTCCAAAAAGTATATCTGAGCACGTGCTATAACAGGATATTCTAAGAAGATACTAAAAGTCATATACCCAGCATGTACCTCATATTCTGAGAATGTTCTAAATGCATTAACACCAAATACAAGTAAAAAAAACGTTTATATACATATCTATATGAATTTTTCCCAGATACCGATCTATTAATTGGTTAGCAAACGCACTAATGTTTAGGCCAAAAACAACCTTAATAAAAGATAAGAACAAGAAGAATAACATAACTTACAATTCCTACATATTTCTTTGATCTCGTTTCAGTAAGTAAATTAGTAAAAATTAATTACATCGTGTGTTCTATATAAAAATAGACAAATTTTACTATATTTGTAGTTTTTAGGACCTATAAGTGATGTTAGAGGATATTTCAAATATTAATTGCCAGTGTGAATTTATTAATATGGATAATACTAATGGCGGATTAAAACTAAAATTTAGTGTTACCAGAATTACATACACACTTTCTATGAAAAAAATCCTGTAAGGCCAGAAATTGACCTGGAAGAACTAGAAAATAAGCTAAAGGAGGAAGAAAACTATAAAATGGTGGTAAGTAATTAACAAAAATATATTTAAACTTTCACTAAACATAATAATCATTTATGTAACTCTTGTTTTTGTTAGTGAAATGCCATGTACAATTTTTAATGTTTCACGTTCGACAAAAATATTTAAAATATTCCATTAGCTATGTACAGTTAATTTGTATATGTGTACCAAGTTTGTTGATTTTTTTTTTATTTTTTAGGTTCAATGAAGATCCAATGGAATCAAGCAAATGAAACTCAAGCCATTGATACAATGAAATATTGGTTAGTTAAGGCCAAAGGAAGAATTTGTATTAAAAATAAGAATAAGTATGATTTTTTTGAAATAAAGATTACATTATATACACTTATTCTTTATTGTTCAATATTAATGAAACATCCTGTATTAGGGTGTCTAGTATATGCCTAGCATATGCTATATTTAAATACTACGCATATACTTAGAACGTACTATTAAATTAAAGTAGATACCTATTGCATACTGTACACATACTCGAGTACATTCTCAGCATCTGCATAGCACGTATAAACAACGTCACGTAGCATATTCTTGGTATATTCTGAGAATGTTCCAAATGCAAATAAAGTATATTCTCAGCATATGCACATTCTTAAAAATCATATACTGAGAATATGCTAAGAATGTATAATTGTTATCTGGGTTATTGATTAATTCATTTATAAAATACTAGTTTTGTAAACTTTTGTGAGAAATATAAAGAATTATGGTACATGCATGTATAGTGTTCAATAAGGTAGATCATTTAAATCGAAATTTATCCTTTCAGCGTTAAGTATTTTTAGGTTAAGATATGTTGTTTTTATTTGAACCAGTGGAGTAGGGCACCCGTCTTAAGACTGTTTTGACTATACAATTTCTTGTACAAGATTCGATACAATTTCTTATAGAATTTAAATTGTATAGGATCACATAGTAACCCAGGCAGCAGACTGACGACATTTTGACGACATTTTTTGGTAATTATTGGTCATCGACGTCATGTTACCAAAAAATGAAGTGATTATGACGTAACTTCTTTAACGTCTTTTTGACGTCACAAATTCGACGTTAGTGTGATGTCAATTTATTGTCACTATTAAATTAAGGTTTATATTAAACGTGATTTCAATACATTTTATTTATGTACACACGGATATATGGCCTAAACTCTTAGGTCTATTATCGCTTAAATCTGGCGCTTAAAAGGCATAAAGATTGTATGACACCACGTGACACATGACTGCGTCTGTCTGTGGTTATCGGTCTGTGGAGTATGGCTCGTGTGTGTTCGATCCATTCGAGCAAGCTCTAGAACGGTATCGCAGAATGTTGCATCGGCCATGTGTAATGGTGTCACATACTTTGATTACTATACGGGGCAAGAGAGAGGTCCGACACGCCCAACATAGGGCGCGGCCATTTTGAACCCTATGACACAGTTTATAGCTAAAGAATCAGATCGCTCACTCTGCGTCGGCACTTTTTATCTCAATGTTCCGGTTTATACACTGCGCAACTCAGATAATACAATATATGACAACCGCCTATAATAAAACTGCAGTCTTCTGCGTATCCTGAATTTGTATCCCTGGAGTGGATGTTATTTTGGAACTTTCAACCGGTCCGAGTGAGCTAACTGATTCTTTAGCAATAAACTGTGACTCCAAAAATAATATTCACTGACACTGACAGCAGCAAGCAAAATATCAGGTGCGTTTTAATCATCCGCTTCTGCTTCCGGAATTGTCGGTTCAGTCGTTCTAACCTGTCAGATTAAAACAAGAAAACCGGCAATTCCGAAGCAGAAGCGGATGATTAAAACGCACCTATTAAAAATATTGCGCCAAGATGTAGGCAACACGTAATAAGGGTTCAAAATGGCGGAGTTTTCTATCTCCTTTTAAAAGGCACTCAGAAAGTTGCGCAGTGCGACCATTCTCCGTATAGTAAAAGAAAATCAAAGTATGTGAATGGTGTGTGCATCGTGGATCGTTGCCCGTGTGCATTCAGGATTGTTGAAGGTTAAGAGAAGGTCAGTGAAAAAAGCTATATCAGTATCAACCCAGCGTAAGGTATTTTTATATCTATATTTTCCTTATTCTTTAATGATTTTATATCTTTTACATTCATAGGATGTTTCATAAAATGTTCCCAGGTTCGTAAAATAGTATAAAATGGCGGCACTCATAAAAAAATCATTGGAAATTAAGTGTGCCCGTAGTCTTCATTATTGTGCCAAAGCCAAAACAATAACGAACAAGTTGGCCACATTTGGAGTAGTTGGATTTATATAAATTAATGTTTTTAGCCAATAACATTTCATGTATTTAAACTGTTTTTTCTTTTTAATTATAATTATTTTATTTTCTAATTTTGTTTTATTAAGTGACCCACAATTCCTATAGAAAAGTTACAAAGGAGTAACAATCAAATGTAACGTCATGGTAACGTCTCAAATAACAACAAAGGTGACATTAAAACAACGTTATAAAAACGTCATAAAGACGTTATAAAGACTACTAGAAAAAGTCATAAACACGTCATAGTTAGACGTAAAAAGGACGTCTAAATATGACGTCATTTGGGCTGTGACATATTCACGTCATTTTACCGTCATTATCACGTTAGTTTTCAGAGGATAAATGACGTCCTGTATGACGAAAATAAGATGTCATAATGACGTCAGTCTGCTGCCTGGGAAATTGTTTGAAAAATGACTATCCAATCTAATTCTACAGACAATTTACTGCAGGTTTGATATTATACAATTTAAATTGTACAAGAAATTGTATCAAAAACTTGTGTAGTCTAAAACAATCTTAAAACATTTATTAAAGTAATATTCCTTTTATAAATTAGTAAATTATTCTTATACCAATAAATAATTATTGACTAGGGGCAAAGAAAATTTAATGTAAAACGTAGAATACCTTAAAAATGATATACCTATTAGGCACCTATACATATTTTTTAATATTTTATTTAGGTTTCCGCAAGATCCTGAGAAAAGAAAACTTTGCTTTTCTCTGGTAGGGATCCTTGAAAATCAGCCCCTTCGTAAAAACCCAGAGTTGTGTTCAGAACACTTTTTCCTGAAGATGTTTTGGTACGCGCAAATGGTGCTAAATATATCAGAGAAGATTCAATCCCTAAAACGGTGTGAGGGCTTTCTATTTTTGGATGACTTGTCCAACAGGCAAAAATAAAAAATAATAATTTTTCGTTCACCTCTAAACATTATTACCTATATATATGTATATCTAATGTATGGGTTTTTAGTTCTGATTCAACTGTTTTTGGAACACCACCTGCTGCAAAAAAAACATTGCAGTAAGTAATAACACTAATAACTAAGCATAATCTTCCTCAACTCTACCAGAGTATTTGTAGAATTAATTGGAGTAGTTTGAGTGCATGCGCAACTTCTGAGGAGACTTGTGATTTGTTATATTCTATCTTAAATTCTGCAATGTACCAAAAACTGCACCAAGGTGCAATTCAAAATACCCTCCTTGGTTTAATAGAAGTATAATCTCGGATTTGAGAAAAAAATCATCTCTTTATCGTTTGTATAGAAGGACACTAGAGGCTGAAATTTATACAGAGTTTAGTATTCTTAGGTCAAAAATTAAACGTGACATTTCAATAAATTACAGGAATTATTTGACAAATATTGAGAATAGAATAACTTCTAACCCCAATTATTTTTAGCAGTATATAAATTCAAGGAAAGACTGCAGTAGTATACCAAATGTTATGACTTTTGATAATAATTAACAAGACATTGTCAATGCATTTGCTACATATTTTCAGTCATCGTACACTAACTCGTCTAAAATTGATATGTCTAAACTAGATAATGTTGTTAATATTAACACTTGTAACATTCCGCTACTTACAGAAGATGTCATTAAAGGTCTTAAAAGATTGAAACCTAAAGATGCTAGAGGGCCAGATGATATTCCGGTATTTTTAATAAAGGATTGTGCAAATATTTTAGCCAACCTTTAACCATGGTCTTTAATATGTCCTTACGAGAAAGTTATTGGAAGATATCTAAAATCTGTCCAATCTTTAAGAAAGGATCCAAATCTATCATAGAAACCTACAGACCTATATCCATCCTTTGCAATTTTGGAAAAGTTTTCGAAAATGTCATTTATGAAATACTTTTCGCTCATGTAAAATCGACCATATCTACGGCACAGCACGGCTTTTTTCCAGGCAGATCCACACAGACCAATCTGATGCTTTACACAATATGTTGCGGAAAACCTTGATAGGGGTGGCCAGGTTGAAGCTATATATACTGACTTTTCCAAGGCCTTTGATCGCCTCGATCATAGTGCATACTTTTGAACAAGCTTTCCATTGTTGGACTCACTAAGTCTTTTCTGGGATTCTTTGAATCATATTTAAGTAATCGTAAATTGAAAGTTGAATACCATGGTTTTCAGTCAATTTGTATAAAAGCTTCTTCCGGTGTCCCTCAAGATTCAGTTCTAGGACCACTTTTATTTTGTATTTTTGTAAATGACATTACTGAAAATCTATCATGTAATACTCTATGTCGATGATTTAAAATTGTTTAAATCAATCTCCAGTGTTGATGACTGTTTGATTATGCAGGAGAACTTAAATAAATTGAACCTCTGGTGTAATTCTAACAACTTACCACTAAACGTATCTAAGTGCAATTCTATCAGCTTCACTCGTAAACTAAATCCGATTGAGTATAATTTCACTGTCAACAATATTAACCTCCATAAATGTCTTTCTTTTAGAGATCTTGGTGTTCTTTTCGACGCTAAGTTAAACTTTATTGAACATGTCAATACTATTCAGAAAGAAGCATACAGAAATTTGGGTTTTGTCATTCGAAATGGACGCCAGTTCTCTGAGCCTAATACTTTAAAAACTATTTTTAACGCTTTTGTACGTAGTAAACTAGAATATGCGTCCATTGTTTGGAGTCCTGGATATGAAGTACATAGTCAGGCATTAGAAAAAATTCAGCGAAAATTTGTCAAATATTTGTGATGCAAGCTAGATGGCGTCTACCCTACTTGCAATATTCCGAAAACCATCTTGCTGAATAGATTTGATATCCTTGAATTACGTACTCGCAGGAAATGTTATTCCATCTGCATTCTTTACAAATTATTAAATTATAAAATTGACTGTCCCGAACTACTTCGTCAATTAATGTTCAATATTCCAAGTATCAGAACTCGCTCCCCTTTGTATTTCTATTTTCAGACTCCCAGGACAAATATTTTAAAATTTTCTCCAATGTATTTTATGTATCAAAATTTTTGTGAACTTCAAAATGATGTTGATTTATTTTCTATTTCAATGTAATTTTTTCTCCTAAAGGAGTTTTTTTGCGTTTTCATATGATGGTTAAAACGTTTATTAAACTATTTTTTGTTTATATATATTTATGCTATTATTAATATGTAATATTTTGTTATTATTTTTATGATGTAAATCATACTGTAATTGTAATTATTTTTGTACCCATCCTGTAATTGGTTTTATACTGTTGGATGGTGTAACCCAAATAAATAAATAAATAAATAAATAAATAAATAAATAAATAAATAAATAAATAAATAAATAAATAAATAAACAAATAAATAAATAAATAAATAAATAAATAAATAAATAAATAAATAAATAAATAAATAAATAAATAAATAAATAAATAAATAAATAAATAAATAAATAAATAAATAAATAAATAAAATAAATAAAAAAATTAAATGAAATTTTAGTTAATAAAATTAAGGTTTAATATATTTAAAACGTTATTTTAAAAATTTTAACAGATTGTTTACGTTATTTTTTGCCATACCATGTTTTTTTGTAATTAATTAAAAAATTATATATTTTTAGGACAGTATTTTATTTAGATACCCCTATCTACTTAATGTTAATTTTAAATAATTTTGGTTAACATCATACCAGGCAAATATATAGTAAATGCCAATAAACTATAAACCAATAAATATTAAAAATCGGAAGGTAACTTGAATTCTCTTGTATTTGAATACTTGAATTTACTTACTAACAATTTTAAAACAATAACAGTCCGCAATTGTATGGGATTTATGAATGAAACATTTTGTCTTTATGTTGTAATGTCTTTGATGTGCACCAAACTATTTGGTGACAAGAACTGAGCTGATCGATCTCATTTACCGACTTCCTATTTTTATTTATTACTTTGTAAAAACGATTGTAATCATTTTTTCTAGATTTTAACAAAACCTTTTTAAAAATTTTTTCTTTTATTTATTTTGCTTAGAAAATCGTGTTTTTCTCGATTATTTCAAATATATTTTGAAACATTAGAAATTAGATAACATACATTTTTTGGTAGCAAATTACTCCCATGTTGCCTTACTTTATTGGTCCTTGATTATGAGACACATTATGTATTGAAAAACCAAAATAAATAGCATTTTCTATCATCGATGCGAATAGATCTAAATTTTAAAAATCAAAAATGTATATTGAAAGCTTTATTATCTGTAATAGTTCTGATACACAGGTTAAATATTCAGGTATTTCACATTGATTGAAAATAAATAATAGTGAAAATTCGTCTTTCCTGCAGTTTTTCTTGTTTTTTTTTTATCTAATGAAACAGGAAAAACCACTAACCTGCTTCTAATAAGCTAAAATCAAAAAACTGCAAGAAAGAGTCATTTATAAAATTGTAACCATAAAGCTAAATAACATTATTTATTCTAAAAAATTGTCACCTTTTGCTTTCTTTCATTTTATACAAACATGTAACCTTAACTTACAATAAAGCAATATACATATATATAAAAATAACAGCTATAACAAAAACAAATTATTCAGCTTTTTAAAACTCTCGAAATTATTGTAAGTTAGCGTTACTAACTTACCAAATTGTATACCTACCTATAAGTACGTCAGTTTAAAATCCTTCAAAATTGTAGATAAAGCAAATTGAAATTTTTTTCGTAAAATCCTAGCAAGCAAAAATATTATTCCCTATTTTACAAATTCTGAAGAATTTTCTTATCAATAAATAATACATAAATAATAATACAAATAAAATATACATTGCTTTTTTTAAAAATATAACATCAAGTTTTTCTTATTTACTTTAATGCTAAGATTGGTGGAACATTTTTATTTATTAAAAATGGCATTATTTTCGACAGGAAGTGAAATGGACCGAAAATTTTACAAACTGTTTATCTTTTCTCTTTTTTTCTTATTTGGTTTTTACACAATTTCAGCAAACTTAATAATTAATAGCAAGCTTGAAGCAGAATTGTCAAATTTTATCATTTTTGTTAATATAACACTCATGTCACATCTGGAATAGTTACGAAGATTTGGGATATGTCGATATTTATTACTTTCTTTGATTTTGACCGCTTTATTGCTTGCTTTCCTTTTCTAGTTCTTTCAGGAGTTCTTTCATTTCTTCTGAGAGCTGATGCTGATCAGCCACGCTCCTGAAAAATAGAAAAATACCATATAAATATGGTGACGAAAATTTAAATGTTCACTATAGGGACACAGCTTACTAATAATGTAGCTCGTCCTGCTGTGAATTGTTATTAAATGTTTCATCAAATACATATACCGGCTAAACTAGATACGCCTTGTTTACATGATGTTCACGAAATTTACATATTTTCAGATCTCTCAAAAATATTGTACTGTAGTCTCAATAATATTCACTATTAATTAAAAAAGAAAATAAAGAACTGAAAGCAACAATAGTTTTTTTATTCATTAAAATCACTTTAAAATTTTATTTTATATTTCATGTGATTTTGTGATTTTTTCTGTGATTTTTTTGCGATTTTCTTTTTGTATTTTTTTAGTGATTTTTTCTGTTACAGTATAACTTCGATTATCTGTGCGCGCTTTATCCGAGCGGTGGATTTTCCTTGCGACATTTTAAATTGATCATCCGTGTGAAGATTATCCGTGGCTGGCTGCCACAGGTTGGAGCATAAACGCTGGTTTCTTACGGATGTATTTATTGTACATTCAATGTACGTTCTTTCAATATGGATAAATATTAACACTTTTATTTTTCGTTATATGTAGGTATTTGTCTCAATAACTTACTAAGAAATTAAAACGAGATTTTGGATTATCCATGTTTTCAATTATCCGGCAAAGGCTCGGTCCCGACAGGCTCAGATAATCGAGGTTCTACTGTATTTTTTTGGTTTATTTTTGTGATTTTTTTTTGTATTTTCTTTCTGATTTGTTGTAATTTTTTGCTAGGTATTTTAGTGATTTTTTTGTTATTTTTGTGATTTTATTGTATTTTTGAATTTGTTAGAGATTTTTGGTTTATTATAGTCTATTTAACATTTTCAATATTTATTATTAAAAAAAAAAAAAAAACTAGAAGCAACAATAGTTTTTTATTCATTACATTCACTTAAATTTAATTTCCATTGTTTGTGATTTTTGTAATTTTTTTGAGTTTTTTTATTTTTTTGTGATTTTTTGTTAATTATTTTGATGATTTTTGGTTATTGTTATTTTTGTGATTTTATTGTATTTTTGGATTTGTTAGTGATATTTTGCCTATTATGGTCTAATTAAAATTTTCAATATTTATATTAAAAAAACAAAAATTAAAAACAATAGTGATTTTTTCTTTTATTGTTTATTTTTATGTTTTGTTATTTTAGTGATTTTATGTCATTATTTTTGTGTATTTAAAATTTTCAATATTTATTACAAAAAAAACAAAAATGAAAAACAATAGTGATTTTAAAATTTTCAATATTTATTACAAAAAAACAAAAATGAAAAACAATAGTGATTTTTTTCTTTTATTATTTATTTTTATGTTTTGTTGTTTTTGTGATTTGTTGTTTTTTCTGTATTTTTTTTTTTTTAATTTTTATTGTTTATTTTTGAAATTTTGTTGGTAATTTTTTTAGTTATTTTAATGATTTTTTGTTATTTTTATGATTTTTGAATTTGTAAGTGATTTATTGTGTATTATAGTCTATTTAAAGTTTTTAATAAAATACATTATTTAAAAAAAGACAATAAAAACTGAAAGCAACAATAGTTTTTTATTCATTACAATTTCATTTTATATTTCATGTGATTTTTGCTTTTTTTTTAATTTTTGTGATTTTCTTGTGAATTTTTGTTATTTTTATGTTTTGTTGGTTTTGTGATTTGTCGTTTTTTGTGATTTGTTGTTTTTCCTGATTTTTTTTGTAATTTTTTTGTTTTTTTTTTGTAATTTTTGAGTTTATTTTTATTTTGTGAGTTTTTGTGTTTTTTATGATTTTTTGTTAGTTATTTTAGTGATTTTCTGTTATTATTTTTGTGTATTTAAAATTTTCAATATTTATTACAAAAGAGAAAATAAAAACTGAAAGCAACAATAGTTTTTTATTCATTACAATTTCATTTTATATTTCATGTGATTTTTGCTTTTTTTTTTAATTTTTGTGATTTTCTTGTGAATTTTTGTTATTTTTATGTTTTGTTGGTTTTGTGATTTGTCGTTTTTTGTGATTTGTTGTTTTTCCTGATTTTTTTTTGTAATTCTTGAGTTTATTTTTATTTTGTGAGTTTTTGTGTTTTTTATGATTTTTTGTTAGTTATTTTAGTGATTTTCTGTTATTTTTCTGTATTTAAAATTTTCAATATTTATTACAAAAGAGAAAATAAAAACTAAAAGCAACAAGTTTTTTATTCATTACAATCACTTAAAAATTTTATTTTATATTTTATGTGATTTTATGATTTTTTGTTTTTTTTGCAATGACGATTTTTTGTTTTTCTTTTCTTTTGTGATTTTTATGATTTGTTGGTTTTGTGATTTTTATGATTTGTTGGTTTTGTGATTTTTTTTTGTAATTTATTGTGTATGTGATTTTTGTATTTTTGTGATTTTTTGTATTTTTTTGGTTATTTTTTGTGATTTCTTGTTAGTTATTTTAGTGATTTTTTGGTTATTATTTTTGTGATTTTATTGTATTTTTGAATTTGTTAGTGATTTTTTGCCTATTATAAGTCTATTTAAATTTTTAATATTTATTATTAAAAAAAACAAAAATTAAAAACTAAAAGCAACAATAGTTTTTTTATTCATTACAATCACTTAAAATTTCTTTTTAATTTTTGTGATTTTTGTATTCTGTATTTTCTTTTTTGTTTTTATTTTTTATTTTTGTAATTTTTTTGTGATTTTTAGTTACTTTAGTTATTTTAGTGACTTTTGTTACTTTTATGATTTTTGGTTTTGTTAGTAATGTTTTGTGTATTATAGTCTATTTAAAGTTTTTAATAATATATATTATTAAAACAAAAGACAATAAAAAACTGAAAGCAATAATAGTTTTTTTATTTATTACAATCACTTAAAAAATTTATTTTATATTTCATGTGATTTTTGCTTTTTTAATTTTTGTGATTTTCTTGTGAATTTTTGTTATTTTTGTTTTGATTTTGTGATTTATTGTTTTTTGTGATTTGTTGTTTTTCCAGATTTTCTTTGTATTTTTTGTATTTATTTTATTTTTTGTGTTATTTGGTTTTTTATTTTTATTGTTTTGTGATATTTTTGGTAATTTTTTATTTATTCATTAAAATCACTTAAAACTTATATTTTATATTTCATGTGATTTTGTGATTTTTTGTTTTTTTTAATGCGATTTTTTGTTTTTTTTTGCAATGCGATTTTTTTTGCAATTGCGATTTTTTGTTTTTTTTTGTTTTTCTCTTCATTTTTTTATATTGTTTTTTTTTTTAATTTTATGATTTGTTGGTTTGGTAATTTTTTGTTTTTTGTAATTTATTGTGTATGTTATTTTGGTATTTTTGTGATTATTTTGTGTAATTTTTTTTTGTGAATTGTGATTTTTTGTTAAGTTATTTTTTGTCATTGTTATTTTTGTGATTTTATTGTATTTTTGTGATTTTTTGTTTTGATTTTTTTTTAATTTTTTTGTGAATTATAGTCTTTAAAATTTTCAATATTATTTATTTGGAAAAAAAAATAAAAAACCGAACGCAACAATAGTTTTTTATTCATTACAATTACTTATATATTTCATATGATTGTGTAATTTTTCGTTTTTAATTGTGATTTTTTTGTGATTTTTTGTGATTATTATTTTAGGGTTTTTGTTTTTATGTGAATTTTTGTTTTTCTTTTTTCGATTTTTTGTAATTTTACATTTAATTTGAATATCAAACTGTTTGATAAGAACTTTTAGGATAGATAGGAAATGCATGGAATCTGCTCGAACACACGAGAAAACCAAAAATTATGGTACAAATCATGCAGTGAACATACGAACTTACTTTTTGCGTATATAGAAAAAGAACGCATGATTTCTACCGTAATATAATGATTCTCGTGTGTGTTGGATCTAAGATTATTACGCGGTCATTCTGTAGGTAAGGTTATGTTATCATAACGAATAATTATTTTAGACGCACATAACATTGGTCTAATTTGAAATGTGGCTTAGCCGATACGCGAAAAGATTGACGCAAACCGTTTCCTTTGACAGAGTGCACGAGCTGCATGTTAGAATCTCGTAAACCATAAACTTATGTTAACATTATTTTATTTCTTGATAGATATATCAGATATTGGACAGTAATTTTTGAAGCGTTTATTCTGTGATATATTTCTGTATCTGGAAGATGGGGGAGGTTGGGTTCTTCTGCAGCACTTAAGACCAATTTGTTCATCCTACAGGGGCATATAGGACCTGTCTCTCAACTTTTTAAAACTCTGCTGGTTGTCGCTGAGAGGTGTCTAGAGACAGTCGTCTTCCCAGCTCAGTCCTGCAGATTATATCAACTCCTCAAAAACCTACTGGTTGTCTGTATCTCGAGAAAGCCAGCCTCCCAGGTTCTTAAAGTCCTGCAGGTTATCAACTCATTAAAAACCTGCTGTTACCGCTAGAGAATGTCTAGTGAGCTTCTACTACCCTGATGGTAAATGCCAAGGTAAAGCCATTCGCTCTATAGGGCGATGTATTGAAATGGATATTTCTGGGTAGCAAATTGCACGTTATGAATGTTGTACTTGTCAAAATTATATTTAGTGATACTGGGTGGGTTAAATTCTTTAAAAAATTAAAAATATATTTACCTTTCATAGCCGGACTCATCTTTCTCAGCTCCTTCTTCACCTTCAGCTGTAAAACAAAACGAGTAATTAGAAAATTTAAAAAAAAAGTCAATAATCTACATGCTTAAACGTTAAAAAATACTATAAAAAGTGCACTGCAAACCACCCAAATCTGAAAAATAGAAACTTAAATAAAAAAGATGTACCTAGGAAAAGAGTCGAGTTTCTAGGAAACAAGGTTGATGATGATAATTAAATATACAAAGTTGTTTTAATGGAGGTTTGAGGGTGTTAGTACATAACAAATAATTAAAAAAATTCATTCATAAACTGTGAGTAACTACGAATTAAAGTTTTAAGGTTTGATGAGTATATACAGTGATAAAAGTATATATTTACAATTGGAATATGTACAAAAATGGGTATGTATATTTATTTTATAATAAAAATTTTAAAATTCATAAAATTGAAATATTCTGATTTTATTGTAATAATTTAATGTAATGTTTTAATTTTCTTTAAAAATAAATATACACTTAGTAATCTAAAAATATTAAATACGAATAAAACAAAGAGTTTGAATATTTAAAGTAAGGTACTTAAAATTAAAAAGAAAAAGTGGTCAATCAGTTTTCAAACTACTAATGAAAAATTAACTAGTTGTACCAAGGATTAAACGCTAAAATCAGTCGGACCGAAGATTAAACGCTAAAATAAGTCGAACCGAAGACTAAATAGTAAAATCAGTAGGACCGAATATTAAACGTCAAAGAAAAAATTTTTAATATAGATTCAGTAGTAGTAAGAACAAAAGTGTTTTGAACCAATATAAATAATTTTACTATTCATTACATATCTAGTGCTCTGGTAAACATCTAAAAAGCTTTTTGGATATGTGCAAATTCATGTATGCAGTGAGCAGTGTCTAGTTAACACTGAATCTCATCTAAATGATGACATTTGCCTATACTTCAAATTGAATTAAGGACAATTTAATTGGGTTTTGTTAGAAGAACTATACCGTTCTAAATAGTAGATTAAACAGTTTTGGACATAGGTAAAATTCAATCGTTCAAAACACGATAATTTACATTAATATACAAAAAGTACGAATACGAAACAATATAATAATAATAATAATGAAAAAAACGTTGAAAACATCTCACAACACCGGGATCACAAAAGAGGAAAAATTTGTGCTGAACATTTAGGTGTAGAGGTAGGTAAAATTTCAAAGTTTCTAAATTTTTATTGAGTGAATGTGAAAGCCAATTTTTGCTAAAAATAATCAAACGTGATTAAAAAACGGTCGACTTGTATCGCTAATAAATTTAGTAACTTTGAAGGAGTGTAACAAATATATAGAACATTTGTTTGTCTACCATGTTTGGGTAAATTAAACCGCCAATCGTGTTCCCTAGGATCCACCTCTGTTTGGTCTTCGACACTGATTTCATAACGAAGAGGTCTTCTACGGGTGCTTACTTGGGCTACACCAAACAGAACCATCAAAATGTACTAGATCAGTTGACAGTAAACCATTTGATTTGAATATTTATACTATTTTATTTTTTAACAGTACGAAAATCACGAGATTTCAGAATTTATATGAAATTTGGCATCTATGTTCTACAAATTATGCGAAAACAGCATCACTTTAGAGCTTCTTTTCCATATACGGAAATTGCGTGTAGATATATGGAACAACCAGGGATTTATGTTTTCAAAATAAGCGGATTTCACCAAACTTGCATACCAACTTACTTCGTTTGGCCGCTTGAGGTTAATAAAGTTAACTGAATATATCTATTTTCCTTTAATCTCTAGATATTTTTATTTAGTTTTGTTGATCTTTAGCAGCCAAATGAGTCAAGTTGATATATATGTAAGTTTGTTCACATACCCGCAATTTAGTAAACTTTTGCAAGTACTTGTGAAAAATATAATATTAGAAAATTGCAATATAATGTATTACAAGTATTATACAAGTGATGTATTAAATAAATAATTCTTATCTAAGAGTAAAGTGTATAAAATATATTAGAAATAAAATAAATTACATTATATTCAAAAATATAAATATTATGTTGGTTCAAATCAAATGGTTTCTTACAGGGTTACATTTATTTAGTAATACACACTGAAAATTGGATGAATAAATTAGAAAAGGTTACTAATTTAGAAATGATTGGTGATAGTACAATTATTATTTTTATTAGTATTGTCGAAGAAGTTTAACACTTAGATTTTATCCTTGTATATTTTCAAAATGTTACTTTTTGGGCAAACTAATGATTTTGGTAATTTATTTGAATATAAAAATAATGTAAATAAAAATTTGTTTTTTCATAATAGAATCGAGGTATTATTTGAAACTTCATCTAGGCTAGTTTAGGATATAAATAATTTTTCCTAGCAACACCAAATTTTTAATTTTATTTTACAGAACAAATATATTTGATAATAGAAAAATTATTATTTAAATTATTAAAATTTAAAATGAAAAAACTTACTTCGCGTCGATGAAGAAGCGGTACCCTCTCTAACTGAGCTTGAGCTTACTGGATGGTCAGCTCCTAAAGAAAGAGAAAAAAAAAAAAACAATAACAAACATCATCAACCCTTTTTTCAAATAAAAAAATCAAGGAAAAAAGTACTCACCAAAACCATGCATTTGGTAAAATTTAAATTGAACCCATGCAAACTAAAAATAACTTACCAAAAACAAAACCATAAATGTCTTACTCAATCTAATCGGTAAAAATAAAAAACTAAATAAAAAGCTAAAAAAACCAAAAAGTTACAAGAAACTCGGTTCGTAGGGATTATGAACAAACCTGGAACAGTTCTGGTTAGTTGTGTTAGTTGCGTCGCAGGTAATTCAAACTGCTGAGTCATCGTTGTTTTGCTTCCCTGTCCATCGGTAATAGTTTTAGTTACCACTCCACGTCCTTCGACTGTTCTAGAAATCACTCCCTGACCTTGAACGATTTCAGGCTGATTTAATCTGCGGAAATACTCTTCTATCTCTCCACCCGATAGAGGATGCTCGGTACCATCATCTTTTACTATGAACTTTCTTTGAACTACTCTCTTAATGTGGACATTACCAGCTTCGTCCACTTCTTCGGTTTCAACTACTTGTTCGCCTTCAGGGAAGTTCTCCATAAATTGTTTCATTTGCTCTTCAGATTCAGCTCCAGTAAAAGTTATTTTCCTAACTTCTGCAGGCATTTCTACTCGTCTGTGTACTACATGAGAAAATCCATCTTCATCGGTCGGTTCGATGGTTTCTGTTACATACGGTCTTGAGTCATCATAATAATCAGTAGTTCTTCTTCCGCTAATATCCTCATCAAACCAAACTTTCCTTACTGCTGCTGCTACGTCTACAGTAGTAACCTGTCTTGATTGGTCTATGGAGCCAGTTGAAGACACCATGGTGTTAGAACCACCACTCGTGAAGCTTCCTCCTGAATAAACGGAATCGGTGTCGAATTGATAAGTAGCATGGGTCGCCGTGGAACTAGTAACGTCAATGCTTCCAGTACTTGCTAACATATCCGGATCCAGTTCTTCTTTAGCAGACGAACTGAAATCTTTACCAGTACTGGAACTACTGTAGTCACCTACACCACCAATTCTAGATCCGTCTTCATCTATTGAATCGCTTAAAATTAGATTATTACCTGAACTTGTAGCGCCTGCTAGTTCTAGCGAGTCGCTCAATACCATTTCGCTTTTAATTTCACCTTTTATTTCGATACTGTCGGTCATAATATTATCTCTAGACGATTTCCTTGCTTGGAATTCTATGGAATCGGTACTGGCGCTCATTACATCTCCAGTACCTTTTTGTTCCAAACTATCCGTACTATCGTTGCGAGTTGGTTTTTCAGCTTTCACATCAAGCGAATCAGTAGAGGTCACCATAGGGTCGTCGCCTTCCTTCCATTGAACTTTTACGGAGGATCGATTTAGCGGTGCATCTAAGTCGAGTTCTGGAACTCTTGATACTTCTTCGATGGAATCACCTCTCCCTAAGGATTCCGTTTTTTCCGGTTCTTTTAAATCGATAAATCTTTCAACGTTAGATTGTGCTTGTTTTATAATTTCGTCAATTTCAAACATCCTTTTCTCGTAATCTTCATCGTCCTCCGTTTCTTCTACCTTCTTCTCTGTACCAGAAATTGTTTCGCAGCTTTCAGATTCTGATGTGACGCTTTCCTGACACTCTTCAATTTGAGTTAACAGCGCCTCTTCCTCTTTGGCTTTCAACTCTACTGTGTGTGCGGCAATGCAAGCCTTTTCTAATCCTTCGAATTCCTTTAGTGAACTTACTGAGATGTCGTCACCTTGTCCACCTTTGCTAGTCCAATATCGAGATTTAAAACTGCCATTACTGGAGGAGTCTTGAGAACCATGATGTAATTTCCGCATTTCTAAAGACATTGCTTGTTCTAAATTCTCAAACTCCTGTAAGCTAGACATTGATACATCGTCATGTTCACCTGAACGTGTAAAATACTTTTTCCCAGCTAGAACATCGTATTCTGGAGTGCTAGAAAAAGATTCTTTCATGCTACCACCGGAATCTCTTTGTGAACCGTAACTGGAAGCGGCTAGATCGTTAATATCTTCCTCTTTAATATCTTCGAGTGGTCCTCTTTCAAAATCCATTTCATAGCCATAACCGGCTGCTCGCATTGCAGCTTGATCGCCTTGGAATTGTTGTTCTATCCATTTCCTGTTCGCTTCTAGTTCTTTGTCGTAATCCGATCCGTATTCCATGGTTCCTGCTTGCGGATCCTTTTGTTGAATGGCCTGAGGTGGACTTTCTTCGAAGTCGAACGCGAGTTCTTCACTAGATGATGTCCCTTCAGGATAAAATTTAATGTCGGTCATTCGAGTAAGTGGAGTTGGAGCTGAGTGAGCTAAGTATTGCTCGATTTCCACATCGTGCTTTTTTTCTTTGCTTTGTTTCTTTCCTATTACTAAGCTTTGGCCTTCCGAATCGAGCTCTTGTGCTTCTTTTCCAACTTCTTCTATTACAACAAAGTCGTCCATTATATCCGGCTTTTCTAGCATTTCGAATGAATCGCTATTGGGCGAGTCGGTTCCTTTTTCTGAACCTTCTTTCATTGTGGCTTCCACTGCTGTGACAGCTTCGCTTTTTGACTCTGTTATTACTTTTTCCGGTTCTTCTGATATCGAAGATATCGTCTGGTCTAAAACATATTCTCTACCTTGATCAGTTTCCTCCGAACTTTTACTCGAAACTGTAGACGCTGGGGTTTCTGCACTAACGACAGATTCTTGCTCTTGTTCTTTTTCTTTGGCTTCCAATTCCAAATCTGGATAACAAAAACTGTCGTCGACTAGAGGAGCCAAGTGCTGAGTTATTTTAATGTCGGGTACAAAGCCAGGACTCAAATCTTTGAGCATTTTTTCGCGTCTTTCTTCTAATTCTTTTTGAGCTTTTTCTCTGGTTTCGATTTCGTGTTTTTCTGCATCTTCGTCTTCTAGTATCGGGCAGATTTGTTTGATTTTATGCGCTGGTGATATATGCGCTACCATACTAAATGCAGCTTCGGCTTCTGCTTCCTCAAAGCTGGACTTTTCGCTAGAAGTAGTGCTCGATTTACCATGAGAATCTCTTTTTTCTAGTATATCTTTTGGCGGGCAAATATCTGAGATGGATTTTCTAGTATCTAAATGAAATTCCTGAGATCTAAAAACAGCTGATGTATATTCTTGTTCGAGTTCTCCTACGCTAGCTTGAGCTTCGGAGCTGAACTCAGGAGTGTCGCCTTTATGTTCGTCGCCAGGTTCTGGTGTTGGAGGTCTTTCTATCGGATCAGTACTTTCAGTAATATCAGAAGATTTAATCAGATCTGCTAATTCTGAATCTGGTCTATCGTCTGAGAAGCCTGTCGAAGTCGGACGTTCAGAATCAGATTTACTTAAATGAGATTGAGGTCTAGATAGATCTAAAGTTTCTGGTTCGTTATCTGATTCCGTTTCTAAGTAGCGACCCTCGAGAAGGTCTCTATGAAAACCTTGATCTGCTTCTGTTTCATAGCACTCTTCCCTCTCACTTTCATCGATGTCTTTTTTCTCATCGTTGCTTGTTTCTTTGAAACTCAATTTGCTGGTGTATTTATCACTTTCAGCTAAGTCAGAGTGAATTTTTCTTTCAACTTCTGCTCGGGTCGTTGTGCTTATCATAGAACTTACAAAAGTACTATCTGAACGTCTGTGACCTTTCTTTTTAGGTTCTTCGATTTTGGCTAGTGGAAATTCATCTTCGACGGGAGATTGAGTCTCAGAAGTCACTTGGGTACTCACGCTTTGAATCCCGTTTTCTTCCACAGTTGTGGTGGTTAGAGTGACTGATTCTACTGGAATGTCTGGTGGGATATGACCCACTGAAGTGGCCATATCTGTAGTATGAGAAATTGATGTTATTAAGCTTTCTCTGCTGCCTTTAAGAATATTTTCAACATCGTCTAGGCTGAGATGGTCTGACGTTCCTGAGACTGTTAAACTTCCCTCTAGTTTCTCAGAATCAGCTCTAGAAAGCTCTATAACTGTTCTTTGGGCACCAGTACTTGAAGTGCTAGAGTAACTCATACTTAGTAGGCTACCGTCGTCTAGGCTAGTACCGAGTTTCTCTTCTATTTCACCTTGTGGTGAGTCTGGTACAAACACCCTCGGTTCTGGCTGGAAAGTCATTTCGTGCGATCGCTTCATTTTGGATTGAGTGTCAGGAATTGTTACGTTGACCTGTTCTTCTTCGGAAATGTCCACAGATCCACCAACTCCAGTATAAGAAAGGTTGTCTGTGTCGCTTACTTCGGTACTTTGTCGTAATGGGGGAGCGTGTGCGGCCCAACCAGTAATTTGTTCACCGTCGTCAAGTATATTTTGATCTACAGAATCCATTAAATCGTCTAAATCGCTCGTCGATGGTACCAATGTTTCGGAATGTTCAGAAGCTTCAACGCTTGCTAAATTTCCGGAACTCTCGCTGTCTAAACTTTTCATGCTTTCTTTTGAGCTCATACTGCTTACAGCTGTTTGGTATTCAGTGGAGGTTATGTGGGATCTGTGTGATAAATCTTGTGAAGTTAAGGCACTCTCGTATTCGGAAGAACCGGGAACCAATCCTTCAACATCCGAAGAACACGGTCTGCTCTTGCCGCTGTCTATTTCGAAGCTATGATAATGACTTTCGCCAGAGCTGGAATAAGTTTCGTAATCTACTCCGGATTTCCGATCTGGTTTTATTAAGTTTGAACTGCTGCTACTGGTATCAGCTTCCGATCTTCCTTTTCTAAATATAACAGGAGATGATTTGTAACTATCTACGTCGTATTTTTTGCTGGATGCGATGTCTTCTTCTGGCGATTTAAAATCGGAACTAGATTTGGAATCGCTGCTTGAGCTTCTTTTTACTTGTTCGTGGATTATTACAGCGCTGGTGATAATTGAACCTAATTGTTCTGATGTTCCAGTGGTTGTGCTAAATATTGAAGTTTCTTGATGTTTATGATCTTTTTCTGTAACGATACTA